TCTCACTTCATTTAATCAGTTTTCGACTTAAAAAGTCATTTGATTACCATTTTTGCCTTATTATAGCGCTTCTCATAAGTTATTTTCATAAATAGCTTTTTGTGTGAATTTTTCGCTTCAATTCAAACCAATTGTTAGGAAACAAACATTTTTTCCCATTTAATTGATTTGTTATTCTGTCGACTATTTCTATGCGAAAAATAATTTTATGATTACTTTTTTCGCTTTGATTTATTCATACAGATTTTTAATGTATATTCAGTAATACAAACAAATTTATATCAATTTGTGAAATGTATTGATAATTAACTCCACTATTTAATGGCTGTATATTTAAAGTCACTTTTGCTATAAAATTACTATAAACTACAAAATGCTTTTATGTCTCTATTTTCCCCACTCATACCCAACAGTCATCATAACTATCACGAAATCAATTCAATTGTGCGAAAAAGTTATATCAATTCAATTATCGACGCATAGAAAAAGTTCCTAGTTTTACGTTTTTTGAATACATTTTGGGTATTATTTTGGGTCTGAAAAAAGATTTATTGTCTTAATTATACGCTATTATTGCTATTATAATGATTTACAATATACGAGATATAATATAATATATAAACAGTTTATTATAATTTTTTTTTTCTTAAATGAAGATAAAAATTAAAACAATTTATTCCATTCATTATTAATAATCCCACTGAGACTCAGAGAGAGAGAGAGAGAGAGAGAGAGAGAGACTGAGAAATATCTGAATTTATAATTTTATGGTTAAGTTATTCGTTGAGATAGTCATCAATATATACGAAAAACTCGTATTTAAACCCGTATTGTGTGCGGCGAGGAGTTGGTGGTCACTCATGTGAGCCAATAGATTATATCATTAGAAATAACAGTATTTTTTCATTATTAGCGTTAAGAGCATTTTAATGCAAATTCACAAAAATAGTTTTTCGTGAAAAATGATTTTAATAATTGAAATATAAATACGCCACCAATTATTGAATATTTTTTGCTTATTTGTGTTGAATTGGTTTTTAAGCAAATTTTACTATTAATTCTGTATGTATTGAAGTCAATGACATATTTTACATTTTACTTCACGACTCCTTTTTAGCCCCTCTTCATCAGTATACCTGTGATCTCTCTCTCTCTCTCTCTCTCTCTCTCTCTCTCTGAGTCTCAGTGGGATTATTAATATATCAATAATTGTGTTGATGTTCATGTTATATGTGTTTATGAATGAATTCAATGAATTTGTTTTCGAGGTTTCTTATCAATGAAAACTCTCTCTCTCTCTCTCTCTCTCTCTCTCAGTACACGTTATGTTAACCCTCTCAACACAATCCAGTAATCATTTTGTACACCTTTTCTTGGCGTATATAATGTCAAACTAATAGTGCGGTTGGGTTTAAGAATTTTTGAGAAACTCATACACTTTTGGCAGTACCGGAGCGCACAGATAGCCTCCGGTTCATCGATCAATATTAATATAGATTTTTGAGTATAACTCTCAAATTATATGTTTTATGTTTATATATAAAATACATAGTATTTTGCGATTAATTTTTGACTTGAAAATTATTGGCGAAAACTTATAGCTACTAAAAGTCAATGTCTCTTATGGTTTGAGTTTAATATATATTTAATTAAACCAGCGATCGATTCATTACTCGTATAACTAATTGATAAGACAGTCTACCGACTCGTATACTGTACTGTCTATACTCTAATCGGACGGAATACCGTTCCCCCCACTAATTCTGTGGCATTCAATTGGCAACTGATTTGTCAATTATTTACTACATTTACTGACTGCCCATCCATTCATTCAGTCATTCTTGTGGTTAGCGTTTAGGAGTCTTTTGAGCTCTAATTTAATCAAATGCTTATCAATCAATCAATGATTATATAAATACGAGAATTGTTTGTCTTCTCTCTCATCCGATTTAAAGCCTGTGTTTGACTGCGAGTTTGCCATTGTTTTTATGTTTTCATGTTTGGCTGCCATAAGTTGATGTAGTATTTGTGCTGTCTTATTATGTTTGACAAACGCTACAATCCTATTGTGAAATATACGGCAAATATTGTATTTTTGTTAGACATTAAGTACATATCATACAGACTCGCAAACACCATAGCGTTTAATTGGTTTGAATTAGATATGGAATTGAATTAGAAGTTTGCACCGACCCTTAACTACAATATCCTCCCTGTGCTCTCGTATTTGTAGATATGCTGAGGGAAATGACAGCTCTGTTTCCGACATATACCATACCATTCCGTGCCATACATACCCATACCATAGCCTTTTAAATTGGATATTGCAGTACACTTTCACTCTCTCGCTTATTGACGTAATTGTGGCAAAAAATTGTTTCAATTTATATTTTTGACAAAAACTTCTCTCATTTTAAACAATAATTGTAACACAAAATTAACATTAATTTTCTGGCACTAGCGCTATACCCCCATTAAATTGACAGCGAATATAATGGGAAAAAGTTTTTTATATTCAACTTTTATATTGATAAATATCAAACCAAAACATGCTATAATATGTGTTGAAAAAATATCGGTATTTATCTAATCTAAGTAAAAACTTATGAAAAAATACTTGTAAATCCAACAAAAGATTATATAATAACTATAAGAATATCGTTTATAATTTATATATAATTATTTCTTGGAATTTATTTTATTTTTTATGATTTTCTTTATTTATATAAAATATAGACGACTCGCAAATTGCAGACAATTTACGGCTATATTCAAGCGATGAATTTGGATATGAATTTTGTGCAAAAAATATCTCTATAATAGGAATTTCAGTTTCCTTTCCGAGACGTGTATATATCGATATGAAATGATATAAAAGTAATCCATTTGTAAATCATATGATACTTTTGTACAATTATATCTCATTTATTGAGTAATCGTTTTTCAGTGGAAAATATCTGATTTTTATTATCTATTTTATAAAAGGGTTGATATTCGTAAGGCTTTTCTAGCCTTCAAATTGAATTTTTTTTCCTCAATTGAGTATTTGTTTTAAATTGAATTTGAAATATATATTTATAGTTAGCTTTTAATAGCTTTTTAAAGGGGTTTTTACTTTTAATTGAATTGAAGCCCTATTTTTCTTATTACAGTATAATTATTGGGTTTCCAATCCATGCCAACGAATATATCAATAATTGTGTTGATGTTCATGTTATATGTGTTTATGAATGAATTCAATGAATTTGTTTTCGAGGTTTCTTATCAATGAAAACTCTCTCTCTCTCTCTCTCTCTCTCTGCTTCTTTGCTCTCTTAAACTACTTTTAATGCTTTGTTTCATAAGAAATCCTTTAAGTTTACGCTAACATAAGACACTCGAAGAGTATATGTATTCCTTAGACATAAAAATCTTGTCTTTAAATATGTGTTTTTCAATTGAATTGATGGCATTCAGCCAATTATTATGTAATACATGGCTCTCTCTCTCTCTCTCTCTCTCTCTCGTAAACACTACAAACAATTCGCGCAAATTATATAATATATTCTCACAAATCATATATAAAATTATATATAACTCACTCTCAAAAGCGTTTGTTTCAGAAAAAAGAGATTTTCTCTGTCTTTACAATAAACTGTGTTTTCAAACACTACTCATAAATCTTAGTTCACTTAAAGACCAGTTATATTTAATAATAACAATAATTTTGCTATTATTTGTTCCCTTTTTTTGCTATTCATTTGTCAAAAACAGTCTCTCTTTTTATGTAAAACTCGGTTTTTGTGTTTTGTTTTAATACGAAAACTTAATAAAAATATACCAGAATTATGCTAATTCTTAAGCTTTTATTTATTTTTGTTGCTTAAAAGGCATTAGTTTTTTGCGTTCAATAATAGAGTTGTTTGAAAAAGTTTCAAAATTGATTTATTATGTTTTTTATGCACTCATTAAAGCGTTTTGTTACTTAAACTCACAATTGATTTTCCCCCGAAAACACTTAAACCACTATTTCATTGAAAATGGTTTTGAATGGCAGTGTGAGATGTAATTAATTAGCTAGATCAAAAGGTTTTATTGTTTTAGCAAATTCGTTGTGTAAGTTGTGTGCGCTATTTGGGCGATATTTTTATGTCTCAATAATTGGATGTCTGACTGAAACGACTGACTGAATGATGAAAAAAGTTATTTTTCGTATTTTAATTAATGCATTGAAACTTATATAATATGTCTGACTCTCGATGTCTATATTTACAGGACTATAATCCCATGGCGTGTATTCCGACAGACATTACACCAAATCCATCCAATTAGCTCTGGTTTAGAGGCGATGGCACTCAAATCGACCATTGATTTGACGTGTAATGACTACATCTCTAACTTTGAATTCGATGTCTTCACGCGGTATGTCTGTCGCCCTCTCGATGTCTCTCCTAATTTGGATTTACTTTTGTTTTCCACCGTTTGAGACGCGTCTCGATTGACATTAATTAACATTTAAAGCCTTTAAATATACGAAGAGATTAATGTCGTAGACGTAAACAGTCGCGAAATACGAGTCAAATCTGTTTTATAACTGTCTCTCTCTGTAGATGCCTGTGCTCTCTGGACAGTACTGTAGATGTTATTTGCAGTTAATTATAAATTAATGTAACTTAATTGATAGAAATGTTTGCTAACACAACATAATTAAACTCGGATTTAGTTTTATTTTCACTTTCATTTCTATGTTTGAGTTTAACGTATGATTTTCTTTATGACAAATATATTGATTGTTTTTTCGGTGTGTTTACCGATGTGTAGGTTATTCCAGCCCTGGTCTACGCTACTGAGGAATTGGCAAATACTTGCGGTCACACATCCGGGTTATGTCGCTTTCCTTACCTATGATGAAGTGAAAGCGCGACTACAAAAGTATATTAACAAACCGGGAAGGTATGCAAAAACGCGCCCATGAATATCACTTGGTTTTCACTGCCATTTGTCTGACGATTTTAATGATATGTATTTCTGAACCAAATATCTCTCCCCGATAGTTTGTAGTATTTTTATTCGTTGTTTATTTGCGAAGCAATTAATTACTAAAACGAGAGCTCTTTTTATTGCCTCGCGTTTGAAACAAAATAACTATTTTTGAAGTGATTGTTATGAAATCAATTGATTAGAAGTTGTTTCTGTAGTTTAAGATAAGATAAGACGAGGAGTAGGAGAGGGAGAGAAGTATCTGTTTTATTGCAGTAATTGTTATTTATTTTTACTACTGGTATGTCTCGTATGTATTGTGTAATTAATCGATTGCTTTCTACTCTTTGAACACATGATTTGGTCGACACAATGGCATTCACTACGACTACAGTTACGTGTTTCGGTTGAGTTGCACCCGTTTGGGTCAATGGGCTATCGGTTACGTCACACCCGACGGCAATATCTTACAAACCATTCCACAGAACAAGTCTTTATGTCAGGCACTCCTCGACGGCTACAGAGAAGGATTGTATGTCTCATAACTTATATATGAATATAATGTCTAGTAGTTTACGAATCATTTGCTTTCTATTGTCTCACGAGTTTTCATAACGAGAATATTCTGCTCATGAAAATGAGTAGAAACAGTATTTTCGACATAATTAATAACCCCATCGTTTCCCAGCGTTTAATTAGCCGTTGATATTAATGGCATTGAATTTGTATCGCTTTATGTTTCGACAGCTATTTATATCCTGACGGCCGTAATGTAAACCCAGACCTGACGTGGGCTGTGATGGCGACGCCTGAGGATCACATCCGCGTAACGCAAGAACAGTACGAGTTGTACTGCGAGATGGGGTCGACGTTTCAATTGTGCAAAATATGCGCCGAAAACGATAAGGACATACGCATCGAGCCGTGCGGTCACCTACTTTGCACGCCGTGTCTCACCTCATGGCAGGTATGTCTCTCTGACCCCACTTTCCCTTTCAATCGAGTTTTGTTTGCTGCTAAATGTCTATAATCTTGTGAAATGAATAACTTATTCAGTAATTCTGGGTTTTATTACTTTTTATGACTATTTTGTGTGGCATTTATGTGTTATTTACGAAATACACTATATTTTTATAAGTATATTCCGATTCTCTATCTCTCTATCACTCCCTATCCACACACTATTCATTCACTCTCACCATATCTCAGAGATATATGCTGTCCCTCCGGGCGCCTGTCACTCATGTTTTCGGCCTCTCTATCAATATTTTAAATACAAACTATTTATTTGTTGAATATTTTTTGTTTGTTGGCATATAATCCGTGTGTGATTTGAATATCAAGTTTTGCGAAACTGAAAGTCGATCCCCGAGTCTATAACACACACAAGAATTGTTTGCCAATTGAAACGAGTGAATGAAATTTTATTATTCATGAATCGATGCTTTAATTTTCGTCAACCTTTTAGCCCGTGATCTCTCGTTTTCATATGAATTCTCATTTTAGTAATTCATGAGTGACTTAATCTCTTTGTCGCTGTATTTCTGATTAAATTTTCATTCACTGAATGCCTTTTGTGTTTGTGTTTTGTTATGTTTTTTAATTAAATTAATTCGCGGAATTGTTTTCTATGGAGTGGTGTAAGTCTGTAATGAATTAAATATTTTTGTCTATTTTGTGAATAGGATTCTGAAGGTCAGGGCTGTCCGTTCTGTAGAGCAGAAATCAAAGGCACCGAACAGGTAGTGGTCGACCCGTTTGACCCGATGGGTCGGCACACCATACGCGCCATCGATGAGGTCAACAATACCAGCAATTTATTAGATTTAGACGAAGACGACAATTGCTTTGAGGTATGTCTTCGTGTGTCTCTCAGCTCTCGTTACGACATGTCTGTCACCACTTGTTTTTTATCACTACTTCACGAGTACTCGTATTCTCCATAACTTTATTAATTATTTTCGTGTTTAACATCACATTTCACTCACTCACTCGCTCTCAATGTATTGACTATTTTTTGTGTTTAATTTTTATAGGACGGCATGAAATGATTGATTGATTGGTTTTTATTAATTTATAATTAATATTATTATTAATAATTTTTCTTATCGACGGAAAACAACTCATTAATTATTCATAAAAACAAAATTTTCTCTCAACACATATCATACGAAATACGCGTTCATATGATTTGATAAAAACAAAAGCAAAACTGTTTTTAAATTAATTCTCTCTCTAAACGTCAAAATTGTTGTTCAAAAACAAATCGCTATTCATTGACACTATAATTACGGCTCAATTTGATGGTCGCGGGAGTTGTTTGACTGTCGACTCCACGCTCCTCGACATGTAATTGCTGTGCAATAGCTTTACACCTGTTTTTAGATTATGTTTTAATTTAATTTTAATCAAAATTAACTGATTTTTAGTGTTTTGAATATTTTTTGTTTGATTTTTATGAAATCAAATTGACCGAGTTCAATATACGACCAGTTCGCACTGTACTGTGCATTAAATGAAATGTTTAATTAATTAAATACTCGACTAATTGAATGATAAAATTGATAACGAAATGCATTATTAATTACAATCAGTGTATTTTAATGGCATATATTGTTTTGTTATGCATATGATTATGTAATACATTTTTTTTGTGAATTAAAGTTTTTAATTATAAAGTAATTATACAATTATAAAGCGCCGAGAATTGTGTACTAATATTGTGATGGTATTTGATTTGCCAAATATTTTTTTATAATTTAAAAAGTATTTTTTAATTTAATTATTATTTAATTTAATTGATTTATATGTATATTTAAATATGCATTGTGTGTTTTGTATAATTCCTATTAATGTCTGTAATGTACACCCGAATAATCATTCATTCATTAGTTTTTCCAATTGATTTTTCATCATGATGACTTTCTCGCCACAAGTTTTTATGTGTAAATTAAATGATTTGTTTTTTATGTCAATAGAGAAAAAAATGTTCTGTTTTTTGTGACAATAAATTAATTATTGAATTTACGATTGAATGTAGTGTTTAATTAATTAATTAACTATTTTAATTATGAATTACGCCTGAGTATGCACCGACTTTGCCTTGTTAATGACAATAATAAGTTTATTATTCATATGAATGAGTCGAAAGAGAAATAGTATTTTTCAAATTAAATGTCAAAAGTCTTTCACTGAGCGACTAATAAGCACTTTATTAATAATGTAATTGTTTTTCTCCCAAACGATTGAATGTAATAATTACTGAAAACTATTTTTAATAATTTAATCTCTAATAAGATTTGAGAGACTTTTACTAAACATTAAGATATTGCGGCACCAGAAAGAAATTGCCGTATTTTCTCGCATAGTGTCTGTTCCCTCACTACCAGTCTTTACGCAACAAAAAGTATTATTAAATCAATAAATTTGTCATTAATTTAGTCTTTAGAGCGGAACTTATTTTTTTGTTAGTTTTTGTGTATTTTTCTCATTCTTATCTCAAAAAACTTAATAGAGTTTTACTCTTAAATAGAGAGCGAAATAAAAGACAAAAACTTTTACAGATATGAGTCGAGAATTAACGAACAAATTCTTGTGCACTCGATATAAATACCAGAATTTTATTGATTAGATATTACTATTTGTCTGATCTCTTGGACTAAAATTTTCCAAATAAAACACATCATTTCGATAAATACAGCAATTATTAAATACTAACATATTTTTTTCGCTAATAGTTAATGGTTTCACTGATTATTTAATCTTATATTTTGGTTACCGTTATTACAGTTAATCTGTTATGTGTTTATTATATCTTATAGCGAGGCTTACGACAGTCTTAAGATTTCTCTCCACTTTTCTCTCTCTCCCTAACCACTAATCCCTATTACCATCGATAGGATCCCAACACGTGGACGTCATCACTGCAGGCGCTGGCACTCAATCCAAGAATCTCTGATCACAACCGAGTGAGTGATCTGTAAATACCTGTCCACTAATCCACATGTGAATGAATACTCCTATTCTATACATTCATACAGAAAAACATAAGTTGATTATTAGGCATAAGAAAACATATTACTATTCATATGAAGTTTTATGATAACAAAATACAGATTACTAGCGAGACATTGATTAGGTATTAGTAATAGTGGTGTTAATCACACAGAAAACACAAATCTCTGACACAAAACCCTATCAATTGATTGATTGATCGCAAAACTACTCTCTCTTATCATGTCTTTCCGGGCGAGCAGTCAGTGTCTCCGCAATGTTCGCCGCAATCCATACGCAAGCAAACGGCAGCCCTTCAGAGCAAACTGACGGCGCCGTTGATACCGATGATACCGGCGCCGCCGATACCGCCCAGACGCCAGTCGCCCACCCAAACACCCCAGCAGTCGCCCGGTGTGTCCCCAAAGCACCACCACTTGACCAACAAATTGAAAATCAATAAAACACTGATTCCGCTGAAAGTGACGGCCTCTGAGAAAGCCGTGGACAACAACCACCACAAGTCGGCCCCCAATCACACCAACGACGTCAAGATTACCAGAACTATCGGCGACCACAAGATTGTCACCACAACCACATCCACGACACACGATAGAAGTACAAAACTCAAGTGCCAACTGAGCGCACAGACCCTGAGCCCCCAGTTCGGCACGTGGCCGGGCGCTATCAATTCGGTCGTTCCCCTCAACCAGCCCGGGGGTGGCGGCGGTGCCGGTGGGGTCACACTGTCGGCCTCCACATCGCCCACCAATATAAAGATTACGTCGCCTCTGATTCCACGACACCCGCCGCCGCCGCCCACACAGAGGCCCCAGAAGTCGGTGCCCAACACAGGCGGCGTCAGTGCCCACCCGCACCCGACTCAGGCCAACCATTTGAGTACAAATAACACGACTGTCGTTGCCTTCAGTTCTATTGAATTCAATGAATTGATTGAAGAACACAGTTATGCCAACACTGACCTCAACGGTAAGTCTAAGATACTGTTCCCCGTGTTTGTAGTATTCATGTCTATACTGGTTGTTGTGATAAATTAATTGGTGTTTGTATTTATTGGCTATAATATAGTCTCTCGACGTAATGAATTAGAACCGATTCAAAGCTCATCCCTGTCGACGACTAGCTCCACCTCATCCTCGCCATCATCGATATCATCCAAATCCGATCAAAAGTGAGTCCATTATCTCACAAATTAGTCTCTCGACGTAATGAATTAGAACCGATTCAAAGCTCATCCCTGTCGACGACTAGCTCCACCTCATCCTCGCCATCATCGATATCATCCAAATCCGATCAAAAGTGAGTCCATTATCTCACAAACAAATATAAATAATTTAATAATCAATAACTCGTAACACAGTGTGTGTGTAGTGTGTGAACACAAACTCCTGGAAATAACTCTCAAAAAATTCTCTATTAACAGAATATTCTGTGCAAAGAATAAATGACTAATTTGTGTATTGCATGTGTTATTAGGAATCATTCGCCGATCCTATCGCTGGGAACGAGTCTACTGGAGAACAAGGAGAACGATGGGGTGTCGTATGTGAACCTACACATGGACTACATCTCGCAACTCATTTCGGAGGGCTATTGCCAGGAGTCGGTGATCCGGGCGCTCGGCATCGCCAAGAATGACCTCCAAATGGCCAGAGATATACTCCACGAGTTTGTCTCCAAAGGCAATCTCACCACCAATTGATGAGACAATTTCACGCATCCGATGAACAACTTATAGAAAGTGTTTTAATATAATAATAAGTCTTATTATTATCAATGTTTTAATGAATGAATATTTATATTGGAAACCGATATTTTGCTAAACGATTACGTATAATGTATATTAACTTTGAACATCACAAACGCGAGTTATAATTGAATGTATTTTTCTGTTCAAATTGTCGACAAATTGTTTTTAATTACTATTCATTGACAAATAATTATATATATATTTATGAATAACTAGTTTCCAATTTGTTGAGTCAAATATGTCCTACAATTCTCTCTGATTTGTAATAACGATACGAAAATAATGAATGAAAATATTTCCTACAGAATTTTGATTTTATAAAAACAAATGCCAATAAAATAACAAATAATCGGAATTATATTTATTTAACGGATAAACAACATTGAAATAAAAATAAAAGTTTTTGCCAATAAATGAGACAACAGCGAGTACAGTATATTTATTTAATTATTCATCAGTGTAGTATAAATTATTTATTATCCCTGATACTGTTTGACCACAAATCCATAGGCATCTAAGAGTGAAATTAACTTTTATTTCTTAGAATCCATTTATTGACAAACCAGAGGGACATTGGTTTTGGTACAATATTTTTATGTGATTTCTCGTAGTTTGTAAAAAGTGATACATGTTTTTGACAGATAATAAATTGTTTACTACAGAATCGCCAACTTCTGGTCACAGAATCGATCAATTATTTATTCAAAAGTTATTCAAGTATTTATTGCCATTATAAATAAATAATTATAAACAACTGATCATTGCCTAAAACTTTAGTCCATAGCTTGACAGTACTGTACAGTAGTATATAAAATGGCATTTTTATGACACAAATCTACCCGGAGGTTGAGTACCGAGAAATCACAATAAGGTTATTCAGTGGGAGAAAAGGGTAATCAAATAAACGGATTAATCCAATTACCCTGAACATTATTGTTAGTGTTTTCCACGAAATTATTATTTAATTCAATTATTTGGTGATATATACGACTGAAAAAATATATTCAAAATAATTATTTTTATTTTTTATATAAACTTCTATTAAGTTAATTAAAGTAATAATTCATTTCTAGTGAACCGGCTGATAGGTAAGGCTTAACAGGTATCTCTAGGTTACCGCATTTTACTCTGTAGACCGTGGGTTTCAAATGAAAACTAAAACCGTATTTATATTACATTTCCATTAATTATAGATACAATAAAAAAGAAGAGAAAACTTAAAAACTAATTACTATTTTCCACATTTTTCACAGCAATTAATTACATCTCAAATTACATAATGTTTACAATAATGTTGTGCATATTCTGCGAAATTAAAACATGTTTTCAGTTTTCAGATACTTATCGCAAATTCTTTATAAAAAGTTGTGTCAATGAAATGCTTGCTTAAAATGGTTGGCTATAAGTTGGTGTTAGTATTCTTGTGTTTCATTAGTCATATGAGTTGCCAATATTCAAGACAACACCTATTCGATGGCAATACAGATGATACTCATGACCACAAACAGACACACGACGGACATATGGCCATAAACCCGGGTAAACACCACTTCGGGCGCAGTTATGCCTTACCCGACACCTCATCCCCACACCACATACACGATCATAATGGTAATTATTTGTACAATAATTGTATATTGATTAAGTCAACCATAATTGTCTTATTAGAGCATATGGGACACCAGCACCGACACCATTCATCGACATCCGAGTCTCCACCAGTCCATAAGAGAATAACATACTTTCCTATCATTATTCTAATCATTAAATGTATCCTTTTCTGAGCAAATTGAACATAAATTGTATACTAAATTCTCAAACATTTAATTCAATAATTTAAGAAATTCAGCAAAATTATTTTTCACAGCAATTAATTACATCTCAAATTACATAATGTTTACAATAATGTTGTGCATATTCTGCGAAATTAAAACATGTTTTCAGTTTTCAGATACTTATCGCAAATTCTTTATAAAAAGTTGTGTATCACTGAAATACTTGCTTAAAATGGTTGGCTATAAGTTGGTGTTAGTATTCTTGTGTTTCATTAGTCATATGAGTTGCCAATATTCAAGACAACACCTATTCGATGGCAATACAGATGATACTCATGACCACAAACATACACACGACGGACATATGGCCATAAATCCGGGTAAACACCACTTCGGGCGCAGTTATGCCTTACCCGACACCGCATCCCCACACCACACACACGATCATAATAATGGTAATTATTTGTATAATAACTATATATTGATTAAGTCAACCATAATTGTCTTATTAGAGCATATGGGACACCAGCACCGACACCATTCATCGACATCCGAGTCTCCATCAGTCCATAAATCTTATTGTATGAAAGGATAGTAATAAGATTAGTAATTTACATAGGAAAAGACTCGTTTAACTTGTATTTAACATATGATTTAAGAGTTTGTAAATTAAGTTATTAAATTCTTTAAGTCGTTTTAATAATTAATTTAATTCACAATTTATTAAACTTTGTTTATTTGTCATTATTTTTTATATAAAAAGTTTCGATTCGAGAGAGCATTGAATAAATAAAATCCTAAAATGTGTTTTTAAATTATTATAATTACTAAAAAAAACTTGTGGTTTAATAATTTATAATTCAATAGGAAATGTGAACACAATATTAATCTATATATAAAAACAAATTTAATTTAATTATTTTTAATTACAAATTATAAACAAAAATCTGAGTACAAAAAGTTGTCGGAATAATTAAATCATAAGCAATGAAATAATAGTTAATAATTGCATTAAAATTAGATCTATTATTGAGATTAAATAGAAAATAAGTATTGGATTTACGGTAGAGTGGGAGGGGAGGGGGCGAGGGTTTGGTGACAGTTTAAGACACGAATCACTACTAATCAGTTCCACAGGTCTTCAGTCCTTCCGAATTTAAATATCAATGAACTGAATGAACAAATGAGACAAATATTAGACACAAAACATAGTTTAAAATCAAATTTTCAATCCCTTTGAGAGACATTCAAAGGGAATGGGAGGGAAAGGGTATGAGAGACAGGGGACAGACATCTCAACACACATACCCCGCAAAGATGAGTGCGTTTTGAAAGAAGATTCCGATACCCGGGTAGACCTTCTTATCGGATGGGATCACATAAACGCCAAACAGTATCCAAATGGCGGCGATCACTGACCCGAAGCCCATGTGTTTCGGTTACTTCTCGGTTTAGGACCGGCGGCAGACTGGCTTGTGAGGCGAGGGCATCCGCAGCGGGGCCTACACTGGCAACCTGTGCCGCAATTAGGATATCTGTATGTCCGTTAGTCAAAATAGACACAATTTATTACATCATAAATATGTGCCGCAAATGTGCGGCAAATCGTAGACCGAGTTCTCAATAGTGTACTCATGAGTGGCACACAATTCATGGCAAACATATGTCTCAAACAATCGCTTCATTGCGAGCACACTATATAAGACATTACGGGCACAACTCGTACGCCATATGCGTGGACACACTCATGAGTGGACACAAATGACAGGCAAAGATAATCACATGAATAGGGAAAGGGTTCCCAAAACGCCGCAGACGTGAAACGCGTTGTAAAAGTCGTTGCCTTCCGTATATCGCGCCGATATGTCGATGATTATCCACCAGCCCGTGAAGAACTAGACATAAACACAGGGATTAGCTCATCATTATCATCGCCACTGTCATCGTGTGGCCATAGTCTGTGACATACGGCAGTTCCGGCGGCAATGGATGCGATGGCATTCCTCTTCTCCCCCAACTCCAGCCATTCCGGACGTCTGATCTGAATGTTGTCTAAACAACCGGCCATTCCTTACGCGCTGTGG